TTAAAAGTTGTACATGAAGAAGTTCAATTATTTAATAGTGAAAAGGAATGTAAAGCAAATGTTTTTGAAATTAGCTAAGTATTCATGCTTCTGGAAAATTTTGTATCTTTTGATAGGCATAAAATTGGACTTATAAATTGTTTAATTAAATCCTTTCTAATCCTAAATTCCTGATGACCCAAGGTGAAAAAGCAGCCTTAACTTGAATAGAAACAAATTTATGAAGAATCCTAAAAGTAATCTGAAGAGGGAATTGGATTATTTTGAATTACTAGTTGTTTTCTATAAGCATTTGGATGAGAAACTCAAGTCAGTTTTTAATGTCATAAAATCAATTTACCAACATGCACTGAAAACTCACTGTGTACCAGTCAGCTCTATCGTATATTATTAATTCCATTTCATAGCTTCAGAGAAGCTCAGAGAGATGAAATCTGTGCCTGAGATTTCAGAACTGATGAGAACACAGCTAGGATTTGAATGTAATTTTGCATGACATAAAGAAACACATTCTTTTTTCTATTTTATGTTTGCCACAAAAACATTTGAGGTATATAAATGTGGAAATTATATACTTAATGTTCTTGTTTTTTCTTCTAAGTTAATTTTAAAAGAACAGAAACAAGAAATAAATATTTCAACAATAAACAAAAGCCTAATTTCACATGCTGGTTTCTGTGTCCAAATCTCTCTTTCCTCACCTGTCTACGAAGGTCTCTTGTCTTCTTGCACATGTTGTCTATAGCAATATTCAGAGTATTACTCCTTTCTTTTTTTCCAGTCTGCAAGGGAGAAAAAAAATGACATAAGCAATGGTATCAAATTACTCTTTATCACTTAGCAATTTGCTTTCTAAATTTCCTGAAAATAACAGCTTGAAAATTCAAGAATAGTTTTCAAAACTGCTATGATATTGCATATGATTCATGAGCATTTCACTTAAGACTAAGTAGAATGGTGATTAAAGCTCATGTTATTTTCTTCTTTAAACTTTTGTAATATTTCTGATACAGGGTTTGATTCAATGTGGCAGTAAGCAGAGCATTATCTCCATGAAATTCAGATCTTCATTCTTAACAAGTCAACTTTTTAACTGCTAACCATGCAATTAGCTTAAAAGCATTAGATGCCCAATTTGTCAACTTCTGTGGGAGTTTCTGAAGTCATTTTCATGGTGTATAGTGTAAGTTATGCAGAGCCATATTGGAGTTTTGCTAAACACTAAATAAAATATGCAGTGCAAATTCATAGCATTTGCAAAAGTTGACCACAATTTTAGCTGACAATATTCCAAGAACAAATTGTTTTAAGTAAGAACTGGATGCTGTTTTTGGCTCTTCAAGATAATTCCTGCAACACCTTTTTATTCTTTGAGCAGAACGGTTCTCTCTGTTACATCCTTAACCCAAATCTTTAGACTATTAAGCACATATAGAGTCACCTTGGTTGATATTTTCTACCTATTATTTTTGTGGGAAACAACTGGATTGAATTTAATCATACTTTTTCTGTGATATTGCATATAAAAGAGATTGGAAAAATCATTATGCGATTCACCTCTAGGAAAATTGCTGCTTTTAAATTAATAAACTGAAAAGGGCTCTTGAGAGGAGACCTTGAAAATCAGGAAGGCAAGTTTATGCAACTGATAACTGAGGGAGTTTACACCAGGACTCCATTAAAAAGGACAACAGGGCAAAGCATAGACCATGAGGCAGCATGTGAGACACTACTCCCGTGACTAACCTCAAAAATCCCAAAATCTTTCTTCAGACAGAAAGATTCCTGAACAAGAAATTTAAGATCATTTATATTCTGTCCTAACCTACCTATTTAGTTTAATCTATTGCCACATCTTCTTAAGCACTATCCTTCACAGTAGATATATTCCTACATTTTTTTCTTTTCCCCAGTTCTTATATATACCTGAAACAGCACTGATTTCAGAGAGCATCTCTCCAAACAATACCTATTAAAATCCTTCCCACTCTTTAATGGTTTCCACAACAAATTTTCCTAAAAGATATGCTCAAAAATAAACATCTTCCTCTCCTTCCTCCAATAGCATTTCCCAATATCCTCATTCCATTTCCATGCATGCTCATCACCCATAAAATGCTGTTAAAATCTTGACATCGACAGGCATATATTAAATTTTTAAATTTTTTTTTACTTGTAGTTGGACACAATACCTTTATTTAATTTATTTATTTATATGTGGTGCCAAGGATCAAACCCAGCGCCGCCCCGTGCTAGGCCACCACTCTACCACTGAGCCACAACCCCAGCCCTATATTAATTTTTTTGACTCTTTAGTACAACTTACATAGAACTTATTGAATAGAATTAACTACTTTATAAGTGAGCAATTTGATTCAAAATACAACATAATTTTAGTTAGAGGCCTGCTGTATGCCAGGAAGATATAATGCTGGACTCTGAAGATTTCAGCATTGAGCTAAAAGGTACACCCATTTCCTCTATTATCTGTTAGGTTCAGATTTTCTCAGCAGATGTTTTACTATTATTTAAAGGGTGTAGAAAAATGATCATCACTTTGAGATGATCCTATAGACTGCAAGATTTGGAATCCATGGGTCTATCTCTTCAAATCTCAATACCAGCTTTCAAGTACTGTGATACCCAAAATTGATGCTACACATTTCTAGCTGACAAAATAGAGGACCACTAAGCCTATGCCATATTTTATTTTTGAAGGGCAATGTGGAATATGTACATGATAGAAACTGCGTCTAGTGAAGAAGGGGGTAAAAAAGAAGGAGAGATAAAAGATATTGAAATGAGGCTTTTTCATCAAACACAAATAAACTTCTGTATATCAGAGCAATGGTGGCAACACACCCAGATAAAAATAGTGAATACTTCCACAGTTCTTACCCACATTCTCCATGCTAGCAGTACAAAGTTGTGAAGAGTTAATTCAGGGCTATATAAGGCAGCCCCATAAACAGATACACAATGGGCTCAGAGACAGCTCTTAATTTTACCTAAGTTTCATGCATTACTAACTTTAAAAAAATATTTTTATAACTTTATT